CGGTTTTGTCTAGTTAAAACTAGAATTTACTGCTAGTCAAAAATGAATTTGAGTTAAAACTAGTTTTAACTAGACAAAACGGGTTTTAACAAAGACATTCAGTATAAACTAGTTTCAACTAGTTAAAACGCATCCTAACTAAAAACGGGTTTTGACTGTAACATATATACGTATGTAATATATAAACTATAGTGGAGAATAAGAAATTTAAAATAGGCTATTTATTAATTTTCATTTTGCTTTAACAATGAAAATATTCGATTCCTCTAAAGCTTTACCGATAAACTGTTATTGAAAAACCTCCGCTAATTGTGATATTTTGCTTATCAAAGTTAAAAAGTATTTAAATTTAGGAAGATCGTAGTCTAAACTTACTTAAATAATCGCATCAAATGAAACAAACTCGAAAAAGCACTCGCAATAAATAATCGCAGAGTCAACAATGGATCCTCTCTCAACAACAATAAAATTTTACGACTCAATTTAATGTTCAAAATTTAGATTTTGCGGCGAATTTCGCGATTTTCGTGCTATTTCTAAACAGAGTGATTTTGACAGATCATTGCATGAGTTTGTCTCAAGCCTTTTACTTGTCCTCACAGACACTAGCTGTTATAATCAATTCACATAGAGTTAGGATATGCTCGAACACTATGGGGCACACTAATTATGTTTCCATTTTTCTTGAAATTTTTACTTTTCCTCCCCCCTGGTCCCAGTCTGTCCAAGTTTCCGTAAACCCCTCCCCTTTACGGCCGTCCAACAAAACCTTTGTCATTTTGTGAATGATAGATACCATAATGTACAAGAAACATAATATACATAGAAACAAAATATACGAGAATTTTTCAAATAGGTATAATAAACTGTATAAAATTTAATGTTTCGTAAAGTTTAATGTAATGGTTAAGACAAGTCGGACAAAGGGAAGGGGAGAACGTCCACTGAAGCTCAACCCCTCTTCTCCCTTGCCCTTTGTTCGACTTTGTCCGACTTGTCTCAACCCCAATTAATATCTGTTTGATATCAATTTTTGTTTCCTGTTTAAATGATCATGTATAGAATAATAATTATATTTTAAATAAAATATTTACGAATGATTTTATTTATGTTTTATAGGTTTTAGAATACTTTGAAGAAACTTTCAACATTAAACCGCAAGAAATTAACCAAATCGAATCCGAATTAAGTCATTCTTTTGACATTTGGTTTCAAATGTTAAGTTTATTGAAACCTTTCAAATTAACTCCCGAACTAGAGCCAAATTATGAGAAAGTGCACGAATTATTTAAGTGGATTACAAACAGATCGAAACATACTTTAACTTGCACGTTAACAACGTTTACTGAAACGAACGGTCCTCCCAAACAAAAATATATTCAGATGACAAACAGACTTAAAAGAGAATTCGAAAATATTCTTAAAAATGATGCGATATTTCTATATCCTTGCCATCCACAAACGGCTATTTTTCATCACGAATCACTGCTAAAGATGTATAATATCGGATATACAGCAATTTTCAATGTGCTTGGTTTTCCCGTAACGCAATGTCCCTTGGGTTTGAGTTTGAAAGGATTACCTTTGGGAATACAAGTTGTCGGTGGTCTCGATCAAGATCATCTAACGATAGCTGTGGCCAAGCAATTGGAAAAAGCTTTCGGAGGTTGGAGAAATCCTAACAGTAATCAAATTTTATTATAAATTCGAATTTATGTAACGTGCCTTCAAAGATAAAAATAGCAAGTTTATAGTTCAAATATTATACAAGTACTGCATATTTCATTGCAGTTTATTATAATTTGTGTTGCCTACTTTCGAAACATACCACGCTACTCTTGGTCATATCAAAGTTCCATCATAGATGATGATATTCAACTGTAAATAAACTTTGTACTTAATTATTTGAATATAAATTATGTATTTTTACGTATATGATAATATATTTATTTACATAATCTTTGTATAATTTTTTTTTATTAATAAGAGATACGAAGGGGGAAATCTAAACAGTATTAAACAGTCCTGCTTTTCTATACCACGAATATTTTAGCCGTACATCTTAGAATATCTGACTTCTTTCATTTCGAGATTATGATCTATGATTCGCAAAAGTGCAATGGAAAGAGACCTGAGAGGCGATTTGTGAAGTACATTAGTGATATTTTAACTGCTAACTGTTAAAGAACTTTCAATGTAAATAGTGAAGAAATGGCACGGGAGAGAAAGAGTGAAGGAGAAATAGCTTTGAATGGCCACTGATCAGACACGATGTTCCATGTAAAACCTGCTCCACTCAATGATTGATTAAATTATTGTAATCTTTATATTGAAAAAAAATCGGGATAAATGCGACAAAATAAAACTAGACAAAGAAATTCCGAAAATTTAATTCTATTCACGAAACAATATGAAAACCTGCATTACCAATGTTTCATCATTTAATTAATTAATTAATTAATTTAATTAAGGAGATCCGATTTTATGTGACAACCTGTAATTTATATACATTCGATTGTATTTGTTTATAAAATTTGTCATAATTAATTTTTTCATCTCTTTACATTTAGTTTTTGCATAGGCCTACACATTGGAGCATATAAATTGTGTTGATGATGGAATATGCTTGGTGATCGTAATTGTCGGATGATTGTAATTAAAAGAGAACTTTAATTAAATCATCCGATATAAAGATTCAAATTAAAATATTAAAAAAATGTAATTATGTAAACTTTAAAAAATTTTTATCTCATTTTTCTATTGAAGTTAAAGAACGAAACTTGATATAAGAACTATTTGATTTAAATTAATTTTTCTACTAAATAAGCACAGAAAAATATATATAATTTTAACCATTAAAAATCTAATATAAAAAGAATTATTTATCATACAGTGGCCAGGAATAGTAGAACAATTATAATGTCTATCTATCTATATACATATTCTGAAATTTCGAGATTGTTTGGTTGGTTGTAATTAAATGCAGAAAAAATGACACAAAATACCGCCACATTTTTAAGAATTCTATATCCCAAACGAGAATAGAAACAAAATAAAACAATTCTAAAAAATCCAGGACGAAATATATTTTAAAACATATTGTAAAGAATACAAATAACAAAGACTTATACAAATAAAAATACTCTTGTAGTCTACCTTGTAGTCCTTTTCACAATCACAGGAAACATGATCCACACAAGCGGAGTCGACCTTTCTTTATAGGCTACAAGGAAGACTACAAGAATATTTTTATTTGTATAAGTCTTTGTTATTTGTACTTTTTACAATATGTTTTAAAATAAAACAAGTTTCGTTAGAATGAGTTTTCGGATTATCGAGTTATCGCCGCGTTTTCTGCCGATTACGCCATTCTGTACGACGTTATTTATTGAAGTTGCCGACTATCGCCTTATAACTGTATTTAAATTAAATCGTCCAATGGGATTAGGTATCGGCGATACACGAGTAATCATAACCAACCCATTTAAATAAACAGAACAAATTTACTTGTAATATAACAAAAACAAAAAGTTGGATTACAGCATACAGAATAGTAGAGCCGTAGCTTGGGTAACAACGAGCATAGACCGAGATTGGTACTACGGGGACGACTGTCTTAGCGCTAAAAATGTATCTTACTAATTTCTAAGTATGATCTATGATCTCGTAGTATGGGGCGTTGACGAAACGCACCAGGATCGACTGTCAGTATGGATGGCAAGTAGTAGAATTGACTCAGGGGACGTTGATTAATATGTTCTAAGTTCAAGTTGAGACCGAGTTTTGCTGATACGGTGTCAAGAATCGGATGTTTTGACGAATTATAGATATTTTCTATCCGTTATTGTTACTCGTCTTACCTCATAAATTCGTCTGTTTGACATTTTCCCATCATTAATAATCGACTATCTTGTCACGTAAGTCCAAACACCCTAGTGACTGATATTTGATCATAATATCACGTATGGGTGAAAAAAAGGAGGTGGGGTTTTTCCACTTCTCTTAAAGTTTAACTAATTAACTTAATTACTCCTCTAGAATCTCACACCAGTATATCTCACCGTACAGTGGCCTGTACGTGTATAACTTCTCGTGAGGACCATATTCGTTACTGAATAAACAGATGTCTGTTGCATATCTTTGTTCTTTTAATTATGATATTTGCATATCTCTGTCACCTTTGCCGGTATTGCAATGTTGCATGTGGCTGTGCACATTCCTTTGTGGTGTTGTGATTTCACTTTTGAGGAGTGTGAAACAAAATAATCCTTTTCAAAAATTTCCAGGACGAATTTACTTTTACAAACAAATATATTTCTTGATCGATTATACATACAGGATAAGTCAGTTTCATTGTGCCACCTCTAGAGGACTATTTTTAACTTTTTGCATTTGGAGGAGGACGAGTAGCCTACAATAAAAGGTCGACTCCTCCATGGAATTGTTATTACCTCAAGAGCGTGCTAAAGGACCGAATGAAACTGACTCATCCTATATGTGTAGTCTACCAAGAAATATATTTTTTTGTAAAAGGATAATCCTTTTCGTTTCCCTGATTTTTTAACGACATAACCAAAACTTTGTTAGAAAATCGGTTTCTGTAGTAATTTTAATATCGATTAAACATTTTCAAAAATACTTTTTCTGCAGTTTAATCATATCCATCTTGGATTCGACCAGACCCCTAATAAGGGCGGCTGGGCGGTGAGGCTCGGGACTCGACATATTCGGGTTGGATCACTTATGAAAAATTTCTGAGTCAGACTGATTTCCCCGGAGCGTCCATCGAGTTCTTAACGCCTCATCCACCTGATCCAAGATCAGGTGGATGAGGCGTAAAGAACTCGTCAAGANGAAAACAGCGTATATTACGTATTATTTTAAACAATACGATTAAACTACCCTCTATCAAGAAAAAATGGCTCTGAAAAGAGCCGTTTGGCTGCTAATTTCGAAGAAATTAACAAATTCGGACCCGTCGCGTTGCAACGAAATATTCGTGTCGATTGCCGATTCTAACAAATCTTCCTCCTTTTAGATTTTGACCTTTTCCTTTTCAAACTCCTTTTCCTTTTCTTAGCGGGTCTGCGACTCGATCGTTTGTGTTTCTTCACGCGTGTCCTGGACTTGGATCTTTTCCTTTTTCGACTTGTCTTCTTCCCTCCCTTTTCTGCTTTGACACAGACACAAATCTCCTTTCCAGTCTGGTCGGATTTCATTTTCTTAATCTTTCTATCCGAGGGGCAATCGTTTTCGTTTTCGATTTTCTCAGCATCCTTGTCCATGATTCAGTCGTATTCGTTGCAAAATCTCAACTGAATTAACGTGTTCGAAATCGAACGCAATTTAACTTCTTTGTCCATGATTCAGTCGTATTCGTTGCAAAATCTCAACTGAATTAACGTGTTCGAAATCGAACGCAATTTAACTTGGTCGCGTGCTTGCTGTTGTCGTGGATTTTGTGTTTGGATGCTTAGATTCGGGCAAATAGAAATTTGATTAATGTATAATTTATTATTAATATACTTGCATCGAGTGTTTATAATAGTAATGTTGGAAAATGAAGATTTGAATAATGGAAATATCAAATGCGCAATCCATTGCTGTAGATAATTGGCGATGGTTCGTTTTTTTTCTTTTTGATTTTCTCGTTATCATTGTTATCATGATTTTCGATTTAATTTTCATTTTACTCTTTGCCGTCGATTTAACAAACATTGAATTCTGATTGGGTTACAATTTGATAAAATCTAGCAACGAGTTACGTAAGTTTCCCGGCTGTTATGAGATTGTATTTTAAAAAAAATCAGTTTTTAATAGTGTTGCAACGAATAATATATTCGGCCTCAGGCCGAATACCGAATATTCGGCCAGGAGTGTGGCCGAATAGTCGAATATTCGGCCAAACTATTCGGCTCGATTAACGCACGTACGAAAATTGGCGCGCAAACCGCATTATGGCAAGGACCCCGCTCTCTATTGGCCCGCTGTCACTATGCTTCGTCAACTGCGTTAATTCTTGACAGTTGTAGCGGACAGACACGAGCGTCATGGCAGTATGTAATTGTTGTCATAGACTTCGGAAAGCTAAATGCTTATAATGAAAGTCACTTAGCGTGCACGGGCGAAAGCCTGGGACCGTTCGGGCTACCGAGCTGTCTCGAATCTGTGAAATCATAACTGTGACATATACCTACGTCCTATCTGTCTCTTTTCCTCGTTATCACCAGGCTATGAGTCACGTAATTATAAAATGGAAAAACTATGACGGAAAAGTAGCGAATCGAAAGTATCGTGAGCGCGTATTATGATCAGGGCCGGATTAACCCACTTTGGGGCCCTAGACATTTTCTTCTTCCGGGTCCCCTCCCGGCTCTTTCAATTAATAAATCTTGTTACTATTATTTCTATTAAATTTCATACGGACACTGCAGCTGCTTTATAAAAAATAAAAGCAAAATTATTTAACAATATTTCACAGTATTTAAGAATACATACAGTTAATATTATTTTTATCGCTATAAAGAATATTCTAAATTATTGGGAGTTTTACTTTCAATAAGAAAAAAAATAAGAATACGAGAGTTGTTCAAAAAGTTCCCGAACTTAATTTATTACAAAAAAAAATATTTCACATCATTTATTTGTCAGGGTTCCCTTCAAAGTAGTCTCCTCCTCAACATATACACTTATTTCAACGGTGTTTCCACTTTTTGAAACATCTTGGAACGCTTTTTCCGGAATGCTCATAAGCTCCTCCGTCGTTTTCCCCCTATTCTGGAATGATGGCAAATCTTTTTTTATTTGAGCGTGTTTTTTAGTTTGTTGGAGAACANACAAAATGTTCCGTTGTCACCACCGCACATTAGTTTTAGTTTCGGTTTCAGTATATAGGCCAGAGTTTTCACTATCATTTTTAAATTTAAATACAGTCAAATCTCGGTTTTCGAACAATTCGGTTCACGAATAGAATTTCGAATTCATAATTGCCCCGGTTGCCGAACAAGCTACTCGGCAAGAGATGCCACAGATTAGAGAGACAAAGACGATCAACTCCCCTTCTTATGTGAAAGATAGATCTACTATTGGTGACTAAATATTTTGCTAATATACGGTAGATTGTCCGTCGTATGAAATGGAATGCGGTAAGTGAAAATTGAAATATAATCATAAGCAAAGCTTAAGGCCTCGATTAACTATATACAGTATGAACTTTTCGATGCAATCAACTCCTAATCTTTTCATATCTGATCTCGACTTTCATCTACCTAACTGGTTCTCGAGATTAAGGAAGGCCAGACAGGCGGACAACAGTGGGATTTATAGATCTACAATGGGTTCAAATTGCAACACAACATCAATATAGAAACAACAGTTCCAGAAGATTCTACCATTGCTCAATTTAAGTCGAATCGACTTACTTTATGAAAGTCTTCGAACATCCTAACTCTAACAAAATGGATTACACCTCATCTCTATGGGCGTGAGTAAAAGACTACAGACAAAAAGCAGAATGGCCCGTTTCTATAGTAAGACAGAAATGAAACCCCCCGAAATCGAAATTCTGTCAAAAAATCGAAATTTTTAGCATTAAACTGAGTCGCGACGTAACAATAGAATTTCGACAATTGTCTGTTGCTTTGTTCGAATGCGATTGTTTCGAGTATTTTCGGAGTTTTGTTGTAGATTTTGCGATAATTTTGGGTAAGTTTAGTCCCTGATCTTTCTAGATTTAGGTATTTTTTAACATTATTAGGTACTAAATCACAGTTAGCAGCGATAATTTTCCCACAACGAATATTTCGATAATAATCGATTGTGTGGTTTCTTCAAAGAGAAGAATCAAACCTTTGACTTATTTTGGAAAAGTGCATTCAGTTAATTTTCGTCAATCGAATCGAATTGTTAAAGCAAACTCGAATAATAAATTCTGTCGTTTCCCGTTATAATTTTGTGTGTGTATATTTAGGGCCGGATTAACCCACTTTGGGGGCCTAGACATTTTCTTCTTCCGGGTCCCCTCCCAGCTCTTTCAATTAATAAATCTTGTTACTATTATTTCTATTAAATTTCATACGGACACTGCAGCTGCTTTATAAAAAATAAAAGCAAAATTATTTAACAATATTTCACAGTATTTAAGAATACATACAGTTAATATTATTTTTATCGCTATAAAGAATATTCTAAATTATTGGGAGTTTTACTTTCAATAAGAAAAAAAATAAGAATACGAGAGTTGTTCAAAAAGTTCCCGAACTTAATTTATTACAAAAAAAAATATTTCACATCATTTATTTGTCAGGGTTCCCTTCAAAGTAGTCTCCTCCTCAACATATACACTTATTTCAACGGTGTTTCCACTTTTTGAAACATCTTGGAACGCTTTTTCCGGAATGCTCATAAGCTCCTCCGTCGTTTTCCCCCTATTCTGGAATGATGGCAAATCTTTTTTTATTTGAGCGTGTTTTTTAGTTTGTTGGAGAACAGGAAAAAGTCGCATGGGGCCAGGTCAGGTGAGTAGGGTGGGTGGGGAAGCACAGCAGTCTTGAACACGAGTTTTTGTTCAAACTCGTGTTCTGAGGGACAAATAAGCCGGCGCGTTGTCGTGGTGAAAAAACCACTTGCCGCTCCTCCAAAGTTCGGACCGTTCTCGCCTGATTTTGTCTCTTAGGCGTTTCATAACACCAGGTAGTACTCTGTGTTGACTGTCCGGTCTGTAGGTACGTATTCGTGATGCACAACCTCCTTTGCATCGAAAAAACAGTCAACATCACCTTAATATTTGAGCGAACTTGTCGAGCTGTTTTGGGGCGGGGGCTGTTTCACTCACCCGTGGAAAGTTTCCGTAAAGGATTTTCCAAGTCTCACACAGAATTTCACAGAACAGCGCTGTTCTTTCAAAGAGCTGATTTCCGCGGATCCGAATTTTCGCCGAGCCCTACAAACACCACTTGACATAAACGGCCGTAGCTAATCACCAAAACAAGATATCAACGAACGAGTTAAAGGAGGTTACTCGGGAAGTTTCCGCGAACACAGTGCCTCCAAGCGGATTAAAAAATAATAAACTGGAGGTGCGCTATTCAATAAGTTCGGGAACTTTTTGAACAACCCACGTACATTTTTTTTAGATTTTAGAATTCACAATAACCATATAAAAAGCCATATATTTTTGTTTATTTGTTTATTTATACTGTTGTCCAACAGAAAAGTAAACTATCTTATTTACAAATCTTTTCAAAATAGACAGTTTGATCGGGCCCTTCTAAAAACCGGGCCCTAGACATTAGTCTCATTTGTCTACGCAATGATCCAGCCCTGAGTCCACTTGGTATCGTTGTTTACCATTTACCATCGCTTCGTTCGACGGTATTTTTAAGAAATTTTTACAAAGCCATGTCTTTTAAATGATGCGTGCATAATTGCAAAGGCAATTGTTATCCAAAGAAACAAATAGTAAATGTATTTAAGGCTTGAGAGGATTTGGAATTGTTTAAAAAATGGAAACCAGCGATATCGCGTGCAAATCGAGAACTGACTGAATGCTACGATGTGTGCGAAAAGCATTTTGCTCCGCATCAATTTCTTCGTCCGTGAAGAGTATATAAAGATGGAAAGGAAATTATCAACGTTCCTTACAAAACTCTTCCACAAACTAAATACAGTGCCCAATTTGTTTTCGGATTGCCCATCGTATCTTACTAAACCAAGCAAAACACTTCGAAAAAGTCTTTTAATTACCTTCGTTATAGTTTTAATCATTTAACTCATAACATAAAACATACTTCTAATTGCTGTATTTTTTTCTACAGTAAAAATTATAAAGCCAGACAACTACCGGATTACATCGGGTTACTTTTCCGCGATTATATTTAATTAATTATTAAAGACCACATTAGCAAGTTTTCTCTTTAAATGAATAATGGATTTATTAGTTATATATAAAGAATAATACATTTTTTTGCAAAAGTTAACTTTTGTAAAGGATGGAAATAAATACAGGTAGAGTCTTTGCTTTACGAGATGAGACTTTCATCAAGTAAAACAAATAAGATATTTTATCTTATTTTTTACTTGATGAAAGTTGTAAAATTCTCTGTAGCAATGTTTTTTTTTTAAATCCTGTTTTTAAAGTTTTATTACAATAAAAATTTGAGCAGAGTTTCTTTTACGGTATGAATTAATGAAATTTTAAAAACGATTAATGTAAGAATGCTTGACGGTAGTTTCTGTACTTCTCTAGATTTTAACTCTTTCCACCCTGTGGGCACTAAGAGATTCTCTGTTTAGACAAGCCTATTTATGGGTTCAGCCCGGCCCACTATGGGACAGCCAGGTGGTGAGGGACGGAGGCCAACATGTCCGGTCGGACCACCTACCCAAAAAGTTCTTGAGTATTTTCTTCTATTCGTCTGAATTCGATCCTGGGTCCTCCAGACAGGCAGGCTACCACCTTAACCGCTCGGCCAGTTCTGTACCTGTGGTATTTCTCAAATGGTTGATTCTTCTCAAGTGGTTGATATGGAGATACTAGCACATATAAGCTTTTTCTCCGAAAGACGTTATGATCGCTATGCGACCGACGAACCAGCCGTATCCGAACGGCCTAAACTCGCGCAAGGGGAAAGAATGCCTTTCGGGAGGACTTTTATGGGGAACTGGCCTCCTATTTAGTCGTTATCGGCAAGGAGAAAACTTGGAAAACTCCAAGCAGCCAGCATGGGCGTAGCCAGGAAGGGGCATGGGTGGGCACGGTCCCCCAGTTAACCTGGTGCCCTCCCCAGAAAATTACAGCCGAAAAAGTGTTGAGCCGATTTGCAAAAGGAAATAAAAAGCTGAAGATAATTTAATTAATTGGGTTTAGTGTACCCACTGAAACTCTAGATCAGGCATAGCCAACATATGGCTCACTTAAAGGAAGTTTCATATTTTATGTGTGTTAAGTTATTGTCGATTCTTATGGATATTTCATTTTAATGAACAATAATTTGAAATAATTCAATTTTGTGTCAGGTTGGCATCTACTAGGCTCCCCCCATAACAAAACTCTGGCTACGCCAACGGCAGCCAGCCTGTCCGATCGCGGCGCAAACCCACGACCGAACTTCCCAGTGTTTAGGATTCGGTCACCACCGTTATGAGCGGCAACGGAGACCACTCGGCCACTGGTGGGCCATGTAATATTTATTTTTGGAGATAAGTATATATTATTTTTATTTCCTTGTTTGTCTAATTTATTTTTTGACAGGCCAAATATTTCGGAGTTTACAATTTGTCCCGCCTGGTCACAACATTAAGAACCCTCTTCTCCGTGGGGACTGCTCTTCAGGGAGAGCGACATAATCCACCTGGCAATTAATTAATTTAAAAAAAAAATACTACCATGTATTAAAACATACAATAATAAATTTTAAAATGTAAAAATACTTAAGCGTAAATTATAACTAAAACAAAACTAAAGTACATCGAAAAATTTTATCATTTAAAAAAATAAATAATTTGAAAAATATTAATTTTTTTTAAAACAATGGTGGCAGCACTGTTCCTTCAAAACTTCGTTGTTGTCGAGGCACGTCTTTAGTTAGGGTAACGAAAATGTCGAGAGACTTTTATATCAGATATTACGTTGGACATAAAGGAAAATTTGGTCACGAATTTTTGGAATTTGAATTTAGACCCGACGGTAAGTTGTATATTAACTTTGTTGTTGGTGAATTAAACATTATTAATGCCAAAATATCAATTTATTCTTTACGGGACTTTTATCACAAAATCATATATTATAACATACACAAGAACACATTTTCCAATGCCGAACACAATGTAACACGTATGAATTATTATAATAATGTATAAAACGATTTTGACAAGCCAATGTATTTGTATGGTAGGAGTTACTTTTGAGAGCTTTTTACATATATAAACATATAAACTAATGATCTAAAAGTAACTTTGGTACAGATGAAGTAGTTGGGACCTTATCGGATGGCCGTATCAGTAAAAAAGTCAAAGGAACCGACGGTGTGTGTGTATTGTCTATATACTACAGACGGTCTTCTCTATGTATAGTCGTTACTATATACTACTCTGCTATGTCTTGCAACGATTCACACGTAGACTGTTGGCTCCTTTGATTATTTTACTCGTTGGGCGTTATCTATGGCTCTGATACGGTCTCTATTGCTTTGTTCGGAGCCGTATTTGTATGGTAAGTTTCATCCGTTTTTGCTATACTTCATTGTGTTTATTCTGATGATAAGTGTGGTGTTCATTGAGGAAGGTAAGCGTATTGTAAACTGAAAAATTGCATGTTGTGTTTGCATTTGATGTTGACACTCTTACTGTATGTTGAAATAAAATGCAAGTGCTTTGTGTGTTGCATTATCTGTATATATAAAGCAAAATGTTCTGTCACCACTGCACACATAAATTAAATTTAAAAATTAATTTGATTTACAGTTTGAAAATTTCAAAACAAGTTTTTAAAAACATTGTTTTAATTGATTTGATTTTAATTAATAATATAAAGATGAAAAAACACCAAGTGTTTAAATGGTAACACGATTTTGTGTTTGAGAATCATAGGAAATTATAAAACACAGTTTCGGAAAATTGAGAAAAAAAATAGCAATTAGAGAATCATGATTTGGATGAATACACTACCAAGTGATATCTTATTTTTCTCATTGAAAGATAGTATTGGTTTATAAAAATTGCAGTTAATATATGTCATGAAGATGCAGTTCTTATTTATTTGACACTATAATTTGCACAAATAGCAAAAAAGCAATTTTAAAATAAGCAAAAATAAAGTAATGAATAACCAAGTTCATAATGATTAAAAGTGAACCTTGGTAACTAGTGCAAATACATTGATTCGATGAGTGCTTCTGATCTTTCGGTAGATCATCCTTGGGTCTATGTGAAAATGTAGTAAGGATCTCCAAATGCCAGTAAAATTCTTTATCTGTTTCCGAAAATATAAATGTGTAACAATAACATTTAGTAATAATGTGAGACACATCTACTATATTGTTTTGGATTACAGAGATGGTTTTACATTGAAATCTAACATACAGCAAGTCAATTATATAATATATAGTTAGTAATAAATTGCAGAGTTGCATAGCATTATGCTCAATATATTTATTGTCTATTATATCTGCTACAGGATATAGGTATATTCTTTCATGACGACCCATTCCAGCTTGGAAGAGCTACCTTCCTGGATTAGAAATGGTGTTTATTGCCTTCCTCCCACCTCAATGAGACTCTAGGGTTGGACTTTATACTCAATATTGTATAGCTAGAAAATTAAAATAATTTATAATTGTGAAGAATTCTTGTCAGCAGATTGAATATAATAGTTTACTCTTTAATTAGGACATTAAGCTTTTATCATATGCTGAAAATTGCAATCTTCAATTAGATACAAGATGTGATTTTGGGTGAAATTTTTGAGAAAAGTATCTTGTACATAGCAGTTTGTTAGTGTTCTTATGATATTTAATCACTATCTCTAAATTTAATAAGATTTTAAATTGTTTTTACAGTGTTTATAAAACATTTTAGGGGTAAAACATTTAATATCAAATGGCTTACTGAGATTTTGTGGAGCTGCAATTCAAAAAAAAATTGTAGGCCTATAAATTCCCTTTGTGTCTGTCTGACTTCCTTTAATCTCAAGAACAGTGTTAGATAAATGAAATTCAAGACCAGATATAGAAAGCTTAGTATAGTTAATAGGGGCAGGAAGCCCCAATTAACTATACATTTACTTCCAGTGCAAACCGGAAGTCACATTATTTCAGTTCAAAAATTTCCCTTGAAAGGAGAATAAATGACCAGCATGGCTCATTGCGAACAGAAAAGTATGATGTGCAGGAGCAAAACAGTACAGTACTAATTTGAGGTGGGGAGCATATATTTTAAATTGAATAAATTTAAAATATGATTAAAAATTGCAACCCAACATTGTGACGATGTCACAATAAATAATTACTCATTACTCTTACTTTTACAGTGTTAAACAATTTTTAGTGACTTTATTCTTATTTAACAGGTAAACTGAGATATGCCAACAACTCAAACTATAAAAATGACACCATGATTAGAAAAGAGGTAAGTTGAATAAAATTTTAATTTAAATGGTCACTAAATTACATTTTAGTAGAGTTTTTAAAAAATTCCTTATTTCCTATGGATACTAAGAGGGCCTTCTTTTATCAGGCCACACAGATTTTTTTATTAGAATTACAGACATTAAGCCAGCTGAGTACCAATATATCCATAACTACCAGTACACAATGTATTAAAATAATAGACACTAATAATATGCAAATTAGTAGTATAGTTTATTCTCATCTTTTCATTGGTCAAGTTTAGTTTGAATTTTCGTTGTCACAAATATCAATTTAGTTAGGATTACATAGTAGCACAAGACAGATAATGGGAAAATAAAATTATATTTTGAAAGCTGGAGTTGCATTTTATTTAGGACCTTGTGGGTCATGTGTCTCCCTGCGGCTGTGACTGAGTTAAAGCTTGCAGCAGTTTGCTCTGAAATCTTGAAGTAAATTGCTTGAATTTCTTTTATGAAACTCATTCCATATATTTCTTTTTTATCAGGGTCTCATATACAGAACGATGCAGAAAAAGTAACCTGGTCAGTAGCTTATTCGAAACACAGGATAATCAGTAATAACACAAAGCCAACTGCTAGTATCACTGTCATAGATGATGTTGAAAGTAATTCCGTCATGTATATACATGTCTGCATTTGTAAAATTTTGTTTAGGAACATCCGGCATTACACAATGGTGATTGCATGGTTAATGCTGTTCCTCAGTTGCTATGTTTGCTCAGTTCTGGATATATACAATATGGAACACCAATATTCAGCTGATTCAATTTACTCACTCCACATGATACATTAGTGCAGAGATTCAAACTGGATTGGGCTATTTTTTAGTATGCCAGCCAGTTTTTATTTTATATGAAAAAGTACATCTTTCAAACTCAAAGGTTTGAAAGTACATCTTTCAAACCATTGAGTTTGAAAGTACATCTTCAACTTCATTAGGTTTTACACTAAAATAATATAATGAAAACAGTAATTATACTGTATTGATTAATTCATTTAACAGATCTCAAACAAATGCAACAACTTTTGTTCAGTGACAATCCATAAGTAAATAGACACCCCGAATGTCAGCAAATACATGAAGCAGTATTAACTTTGAAAAATAATTGCCATATTGGAGAATGATCTGCCATCATTCTCTTTTTGGACAATGGACAAAACAGCTACTCTATTCACTGCCAAAAAACCCAGAATTGGCTAGCAATAGAAGGCTTGGGCAAGCTTTCATGAGCCAGTCAATGACCTGGCAAGAATCTCATCGAACACATCTGAAATCTGCTGGATCGTTTATAGGAAAACAGATTTTGTGACAACATTCACAGAACCTGCTTTCCTGGAGAACATTTAGATTTTTTGTGTGCAAAATGGGCCAACATTCAACAGACCAAGATAGCATAACTCATTGATTTTATGTCCAGTTGGGTTAAGACATGGTTTTAATATGCATATATGGTATTTGTATCATGTAGATACTGTGAAATAAAAGACAGTGTCAGAAAATAAGAGAGTCTATTTACTTATGAAAATAAGGGTTGTATCTACTGATTATTATAATTTTTTTTAGCTAAATTTTAATGCTAAATGTATCTCATGAATGTTGGATGACCTGCTTGTATTTTCTTTTATAATTAGGAAAACTATTTATGATAATTTCAGAATGAAATAATTGTTACAAGAATTGAAAAAATGATTATGATGAGCAAAAATCTAAGAATTGTCATCAAAAATATGATTATTATTGAAAATGGGATTCTGTTTTGCACTACAGTAAGACCCTGCTTAATGCAGGGAATGCGTTCTTAGACAACAAAGCGCTAAGTAAAACAGTGTTAAGCGAGGTCATTTTAACATAGAGTAAATAGGGATAGGGGAACACGACCAAAAATAAACCAATTTTACTTTAATTTTAAGTTATTTTTATATTAATTTGTATAATAATATATGTTAAATAACACACAAACAAGCACACAGAAATGTAAAGTTCATTTTTTGTGACGAAGGTCACAAAAAATGAACTTTACATTTCTTTTCTAAACAAGACTTTTCTGAAATACTTGTTCTTTTGTAATAAAGTTGTGAAGTTTTATTTGTTGCTGTTTTCTTTCCTTAAGCAAATGTCAGTAGCAAAAGATCACATCTAAAACGCCTTGTTTTGCTTTTGCACTCCTTTCAAAATCTGGATCATTCGCTACAATTTGATCAACGATTTTGGTTATCTTAACAAACTTTTACTAAGGAAATCTGTAGAGAAATTTTTTGGGTTCTTTGTTTTCAGAACCTCTATTTCCCAGTTCCACATGAATTCCATGTTCTGCCAGTTCTTGAAGGTTGTCATTGGTAAGGCTCTCACCAGAAACCTGTTGTAACTCCTTAATATCCTGCTCGTCTATATCTCCTAGTCCTGCTATATCGATTATGTTGAGCTTGGTGAACCTAACGATACAACAATAGACTCTTCTTGTTGAGAATTCTTGGATACCTTCAGCCATAACTTCTTCCACACTTCGTTTATGCATTTATCAGTTAATTCTTGCCAAGCAAAGTCGATATTTCCTATGGCATCCATGATGATATATTTTTTTCCAAAATTGCACGAAAGTACACCTTTTTGCCACCTTTTGCTGATTGGTTTGTGTTCGCAAATAATCATATTATATACAAATCAATGAAATGCCACGATAATTTAAATCAGTGTAAATTTTGAGCTATTTTTTAGGCTTCGAGCAGACCGTGTTATATCGAATCAGCATTAAGCAAGGTCTTAGTGTATTATTTTCATTTAAAATAATGTTTAGCTCATCATAAGTTGAAATTATGCAGATTATATATTAATGTATATGTAGTTTATAATGCATCTTATTCTCATTTGTTATAATCTGTATCAATTAACTTAAATCTGAATAATAAAATATGAATGTAAATTAATTATATGTAGAAAATAATAAATGACTTCTTAAATTTAGGCTTATGTTCATAAATGTGTCATGGAAGAATTAAAGCGCATTATTGATGACTCAGAAATAATGCAAGAAGACGATGCAGTGTGGCCACAGCCAGATAGAGTTGGTCGTCAGGTAAGTACAGTATATTACAAAACATTTAATTGTTTTATATGTAAAGAATATTTAAGTTAGCATTTATATTATGTTGTAATGTTTACGACAAACCATAAAATATTTAATGTTTTAAAACTGATAGATTAATACAGTAGAGCGTCGTTTATCTGAATCAATTGGGGACTGGGGTCATTCGGATAACTTATTTTTCGGATAACGAATCATGTACAAAAAAATATATTAATTTATCCCATGTTGAAATTTCTCTCCGTTGCGTGTCGCTTGGCGTTGAATTTTCGTCGATGTTAATCCTAACGAAGACTATTGTATCGTTATAAATTATTTTTTTATTTTGTACAAACAAAATAAATTTATTGAAAAATATAAAAACAATAAAAAAGTATACTCCAGAAGTTAATTTAGTATCAAAAACGTAAAATACTTGAGTAGCCCGAGAAATAGCCGAAGATTGCAGCGCCACAGCACTAGCGAAAATTTAAATTTGCCGACTGGAATGCTTTCGGATAACGGACGTTTCGGATAACCAGCTTTCGGATAAACGACGCTCTACTGTATAGATTTTTTTAAAATTATAAAATATTAATGCTATGTATTCTACGAAGCAAAGCTTGCATTTATTATAGAACTTTTATAATTTTATAATATACAAGAAAGAAACATCATAAAAGATTATACAAATCAAAATTGATGATCTATAAGTTGTTATATACATTTTAGTCAAAAATAAACTAATGTATATTTTATCCTGTTGTTAACGTAATATAAATTAACAATGTACAAATATATACAGTCGACCCCCCTATAATGTACGTTCCTATAACGACAATTCCTATAACGTAGTGAAAAAATTGTAGAAACTTTTGTATAACGTACCTCCTATAACGTCGTTTCGCGAGAAGATTGATAGAGTCTGGACCAATAGTGGATGAGCAGCCGAACTACTTACCTCCGACCCTGCGCCACGCTACGGAGCGGCTAAATTGAGTTTGCTATCGTCTGTTTAGTATTATATATAAATTATATATAAATTAGGTACTGTACATATAATTATATATTAATTATATATAAATTAGGTACTGTATATATAATTATATATTAACTTAATTTATTGTAACTTTATTATAATTATATATATGCTTTCTGCCGCCTGGCAACACGCTACGGAGATTTTAGGCTAGTAAGTTGAGTTTATTATCGTCTGCACAGTATGTAAATTAGGTACCGTAAGTCTAATACAGCACTAATTTTATACATTTCTTGTGAAAGAAACACTTCTTATTCAACGTCCATAAAAATTATTTATATTAATGATGTCTCCAAAGGTCAAGTTATTTTTCTGCGAAAAATTCGTTATCAGAAATCGCGGCCGCCGTTTCGTGTGCTGTTCCGCGACGAAGACAAGCTTTGAACAACGGGCGTAGTCGAACGGTACACACTCGGTAAGTAATCCTATAATTTTTTGTTTATAGCATAGTTTATACAGATTATTCCCAAAAAATTATACGTATTTTGGAAATGTTGAGTGGAATTAGTCTAGAATCGGTTAATTTTATAGAAGAAAACCTTTCAAACAGCCTTAGTCCGTAAAGTTCCCACCTATCGGGCTGCGATTGGCTCATGTATTTAATCGTTCCTACAACGTAATTTTCAGTTAGCGTGGAACGTATCTAAGCGTTATAGGGGGGTCTACTGTACAGAAGATTACCTTCAAAGTAAGCTCCTCTTGCAAGTATACGCTTTACACTAGCATATGTCAATCTTTAAGACTGGATTGTGTAAACAGATTTTTTTTTTGAGCATAGAATTTAGGCATGCATGAGCACAAAAATTTAACAACTTACAACACTGCTGTAGTTGGTTAAAAACAACAAAAAATGTAGCACATGTATGCATTACATAGTCAAATCTCAAATCACAACTGCCTTTGATACAATGCATTGGTCCTTGCAATTAATAGACTTTCCTTTGCAGGTAGACTTATAAATTTCTAGTGTCTCAGTGTGCTTGAGGTGATGCTTGCTCCTCATAAGCTTGGTAAAAATTTTTGCTTCATCCCATTAAACATTGACAAAGTTGTCCAAGACATAATTGGCTAAGGGTGTCAAAGGTAGTGACTTAACTGTGTATTTGTGCTCTTTCATTTGTGAAATCATGGAATGTGCAGTCAGTCCAATGTGTTTCAAGTTACATGATGCTCTGCCATCTATGATGGGTACCTTAAATGACAAGAATTCTTAACAGGTCTGTAGGGTCTTTGTCATTTCAAAGGGGTTTGAAAACTCTTTGATTCCTCCTCTTATAAAATATTCTCCTGCCCGTTTATCTCTAGATCTTCTTATAAATGTTACTTAGAGAGCAATTGTGACTGACCACCATGAACTCAGTCATGATGTTGTTAACTACTAGAACTGAGGGTGTCCCAATTAACTGCTAATCAGCAATTTGAATGATTTTAGGATTATATTCAAGACACACTCCCACTTTCTTAATGTAGCATAGCTATTCCTGCTGGTCAGTGATGTTTCTGCAATGGATATGTGGCCCTTCTAATTAAGATCTTAAAGGCTAAATTTAAGTGAGATGGGAAAATAATCTCACAAAGTAGACCTGATAGAAGGATGCCTGTAGGCACTCCTCTCCCTTACAATTGTATTATTTTGTTCTATGATCATTTAAAATGTTAGCTTTTTCTTATTAAAGTTTATTTTTACTGCTATACAAGATTGTATGCGAATGTTTGTGTTACTGAAGCAATTACTATGTATTGTATTCATCATGGTCATATTTCTCAGTATTGATGACTTTCAGAATTTGTGTTTTTTTTTTATTTTTTTATTTACTTTCTGCATTTGTGCTGTGAAAACATGTCTTCATAAGAATAAGTTAGTGTACAACAGGTAACAAACAAATCATGACATATTATCATTTTAAACTAATTTTAAAATATTCTTTAGAGTATTTTCTTTTATAGCAGTTTCTTCCTTCTTTGTCATGATGCTCTGCAGTCACCTTGGCATCAACCACTCATTTGGCACATTCTAGATTAAAAGCATTGCTAAGTTGTGTGCTTGGTGCAATTGTCAGTAAGCTTTTATGAATTATAAGAAAAGCAATGTATTAAAATACAGGTTCATCTCAGACATCATAGTTAAACTGTCAAATTACTTTATTTGAATATCTGTGCTATACATTCTAGTTAAAATATTAATTTAATGTATCTGCAAAATTCGTTAGATTTTATTTGTTTTTTTATAATTTATTTGTATCAATTTTCTTTGATTTTGCATGAATAATTTTGGATTGTGAATGATCGAGTAATTTTAATCACAAATTAATATATCTGTTTTAGGAGTTGGAAATTGTAATGGGTGATGAACACGTTTCATTTACAACATCGAAAATTGGTTCGTTAGTAGATGTTAATCAGAGCAAGTAAGTTATAATTCATGTACATAGTCGTTGAGAAAATATGCTATCATTTTAAATTACTGTAATATGTTAATTATAATTGAAGAAATATTCAATGTACATCAATTGATAGAGTAACTGTATCAAATTTTGTCCCTCATCTGCATTTAAATGTATTTTTGTCTACAGCCTCTAGAAAGCTCTATAAATGACCGATGACTCCATAAATGATAACTCTTCAACAGCACTTCCTACAGCCAATAGACAGTAAGACATTTGAATGCAGATGGGAGATGAAACTTGGATGGTTACTCTATCAATTGGTGGCATTGCTACTTCTCATGTGCTTCTCAGATAATGGTTAACATGCAATAGTTTAAAATTCTGTAGTGGTATTCTTTTTGGAAGACCCTGTATCTTATTTATGTAAATGTAAATGATTAAAGCATAATACTGATTTAAAATTTTATTATTATTATTACAGAGACCCTGAAGGGCTTAGATGCTTCTATTACTTAGTTCAAGATCTGAAGTGCTTGGTGTTTTCTTTAATTAGTTTGCATTTCAAGATTAAACCAATTTAAGATACGTCAAGATGACTTTTATGCATCCAAATTGCCATTTTTAATTTCTTTTATTATTCTAATAGTAATTAAAAACATTCAAAATTAACACAAGATCTGTTCAGTTTTTGACTTTGGTTATATTACACATGATTAAATTTGGTATTTTTTTTATGACAAACTGATTTCAGTAAATTTGTGAATTAGATTATTTTACTACTTTTTGTCTTAAATTTTCCTCACATACCATCTATTACAAGTTACTTGTAATCTACAATATTTATTAAGTGCTGTGAAAAATATTTAATGCAATGTAATTTCGTTAATCTATATTAATTTTGAGTATATAATGTGTACAATGAATGATTTTTACATTAAAATTACGTTCTCTGTGATTCTTCACCTAATAACGTTTGTCACCATCTCTTGATGTGTATATAGTAAATCTTTCCGTCAACCGTCCTTTTAAATAATTCTTAAAAAATTCCAATTTATTCATTTGTGATAGATAAAATGAAATCATAAACATTGAAAATACAAATATTTTTCATTATACTTTGATATGTATAGTAAAATATAAAAACGGAAGCCAATATTAGTCAGATGATTGTGCAGTAAGATATCCTATCAGATTATTTAGAGGGTTGTGAGTTTATACCAATACAAATCCAGATGATCCCTGTTATTTCACTCCTAACTTGGACATTAGAAAAGAATATTTCAATAAAAATCTGCTAAGTACTTTAATTATTTTGCTTATATTTCAAATTTAATGTATACATAAATGGCAAGCCCAAAAACTCAGATGATGAACGCCGAAGTACACTACAAAGAAAAATTGTCAGTCATCTCTGCAAATCATTACAGGAAAATTAACACAAGTTTGGGAACTGGTGGTACTGATAGGATATTTTACTGAGAGATGTTTATCCTTGGGTTTTTTGGTCATGCAGTACCATTTTTTTCGACTGCTATAAAAAATGATGTCATTGAATAATTGAGCAATGGAAGAGGGTCTTGGGGAATGATGAATCCCATTACGTGATTTGGCACGTCGATAGATGAGTCTGGCCAAGATGGATGCCTGGAGAATGGTACCTGCCAGAATGTGTTGTTTTGATTGAAATGGTAAAGGTTTGAAATGGACCCTTTGCTGTATCTGCACGATAATGAATCTGCATAATACAGGAAAATTCTTAGCACCATGGTTTGAGGATCTGTAGGTAGAAGAGTTTGGCTGGTCAGCCCAAAATCTACACCTCAACCCAATCTTTGGGATGAGCTCAAGTGATTGCATATCGGTTAAGATCTGTTAAAGTTCAATTCTTAACACTTATAGAACAAAATGACATCTTTAGAATGAAAGAAAATCTTAAAGATTATAATTTCTGCAAGCTGTATAATTTTTTAGGTACTCCAGAACGGCGATTTCCAGGGTTTTAATTGCAAATGACGTGACTGTCCCATGGTGCCACTTCATTTGCAATTGCATTCTGAGTTATGTAGCAGCTGCTAGCTTAGTTGGAAAAACTGCAACTATGGATCTTCAAAGAATGGAAATACATCTGTCTTCATTCCTCATCTCCCGTCGACTCAGGCTTTTCGGGCCGTAATGATGGTTGGCCTCCCAAAACAAAAAATACATAACTGAAAGGTGAAAAGTAATGATGTCCCATTAGTGTAAATTTATACACAAACGCACACATTGAATTTCACTCTGATTTACTTAAGTCCGCTGTCCTACAAGAGTGTATCTAGTTGTTCTCCCGAATTTATGGACTTTCCTTGAAAATAGTATTTAATGTAGAATTCCAAACACGAGTAAGGAAGAACCAAGGCACAAGGAAAGGCCTGACCAATTCAGATCAATTTACTCGCGAAATCAAAGACCCATTCTCAACCAGAGTGACAAGTTCAATGCCTTTATGCATAGTTCATATGGAAGTAAAACAACAAATTATATTTTTACATCTCGAGAACGAATGGACAGAACTCAAAAGTGATACGTAGATCGGAAAATAGCAGATGACGACCGATACTTATATTTTGTCCCTATGACGCGCAAATCTGAAGTTCTTTTTAATAAATATGAAATCAGATCATCTATAATAAGGTTCTGTTCGTTAAGCTGTTCCATCGCTTACTTGTCAGCTTGCCTCTACCGAGCCTTATGATTGCTCGAAATAACACTGCCATTTGTGAAATAACTCATTTTTCTTACAAGTAAGTTCTTAACACATTCTAAAAAAATAAAAAAAGAAGAGAAAATTATCTGGAATGAATTTAAGATGGCGGATGGTCCAACATCGCGGGCCGCATTTGGACAGGGAATCACAGTGCGTACCGCTGAAATAGAGCTTTAAATTTAAATTAATTTTAAACAACAATAATAAAATAATCTAAGAAAATTTTATTATGTTTTCAAATGCATATAAAAGAGCTATTAAACTTATTAAAGCAAATATACATATATGCTTTACAGATGTTACAGCTGATTCCTCAGAGCGGCAAAAGACACGGGTTTCAATCTCAGTGGCGATTCAAGCATTTTCTAAATCTCAGAGACGTTTACTTTTTCGAAACTACAGGTTATTCAGTTTCTACTAATATACGTTAATCAAAATTTATTAAAATGTCAATGCTTTAAGAGAGAAGTTTAAAATTCTTGCTATGCATTCCACTTTGAATTCTTTTATATATGATAGTACATTCTCTCATTCATTTTCACGAATCTTTCTTTGACTGAAAATTTTTGATGCGATTTAATATTTGCGGCACTTGCTTATTTTTGAGGACCGTTTTGGGCATTTCTTCATACTTATAGAGGATCTAGCAAATTTCACAGCTTGTGCCACCTTGGTAAGTGACGAAGGTTTACCTATCCTGGAGTTAGTCGCTGGGATTCGGTCCTGGATGACCCAAAATGATGGGTTTCTTCTTTCACCGCCTCGAACATCCGATCGAATGTAAAAATTAGAAAAAATCTTTCCTTAGAATTTTCTAACGGATCTCTAATCAGGATCCTACGCATTTACAATCTGTTTTCAATGTTGAAAAGTTAAAAATTTTGTATTTGGTCATAAAAATCGATTTATTAAAAATTGTATTGTCTTGTCTATTTACTTTAGCATTTTTGTTTACTTTACGTTGATTAAATTTTAAAATAAATACAATTTAATTTCAAACACTGTCGCTTATCAAGCATCCAAACATATTGGTAAAGGTACAGCTCGTTACAAGTCTTCGAGAGTAAAAATTCCTTTTAGAACAATTCGGTAAGTTACAACATATTATAAATGCGTTATTGTATATAAGTTTTCTTTACGAATTAAATAACAATTTAAATATAGAACTAAATATAATTTAAGTTACAAAAACTCTTTAGTGAAATTAATATTAATCTTACCATTTCTGCACATTTCGCAAACGGCATTTCTTAATATTCTTAAGAAGGCGGGTAATGCGTCAGTCAACCGCTCTTAGGGACCAGGGATCGAATCCCAGCCAGCAATTCCAGAAATATATTTTTGCGGAAGGTCTGTTCCCGGTCCCTCGCCACTCGATTAGCTCATAGTACACCTGACAGAACATACGATGAATATAATTACAAACAGGCCCCTTCTTAAAAAGCCTACAGGGCGAAAACAAAACAAAAATAAATGAATAAATACTTTTAACGAAATGAAAGATAAAGCTTCAGTTACTCGTGAATTATTTTTAATTTATAAATAACTAATTACAAAGGACGAGTAACAGAACATTAGGCAAGTTAGTCTATGAATAATTGAAACTTTGAGGAAAACAATGCGTTTTTATTGGTATTGTGGCTACCACACGCTACTTATAGGTATATTGTTTTATTACGAACAATTTTAAAAACTAAAATGAATACTTAAAAAATGGTCAAACAAACGTCAACATAGTTAAATAAATAAATAAAAAAAACAGTGCATACTTTGTCCATCCTCAACCGACATTTTTCCTAAATGATTCAACATCTTTGAGCATTGACGAATAAGCGCATACAAATTGAAAATAATGTTCAAGTGATATCGCTATTATTATCGTGAGAAATCTTTAAATTACATTGCGTTTAATTATTGAGTTACCTCCATGCATATGAAAACAAACTAATATATATTACTTAATTAATGATTAATATTTTATTTTCAGATATAAAATAATATTTCACGGTTGATGAACAGTTTTCTAGGTAATCGCATCGCTTGTTTATTTACGAATTTCATTGCTTATACTTTAAATTTTACCATAAAAAATTTTCTTTTCAGATTACGAATCTTGTCAGACAACAATATGAATTCCTTAATTCAATTGAACAAAATCAGGAAGTTTACAGACGAAGAAGAAATTTATCTTTTCACCTACAGAAACCGATGGAAGTCATTGACCATGTGCATGAAATTCCTCGGTTTGAAATTCGAGAAAAGGTTCACTCCACACATAATTTTCATGTTGATAGCAGAAAAAATATATACAATCTTCTTCATCTACGAAAATATTATAACATTAAGTAATTATTCTTTTTCGTTAGTTAATTGGATCATATTTATATACTTTGTTTTTTTCCATTTCGTAAATATATTTTCTTTGTATCATTTTCATCTGAATAAGAAGAAAATTACGGCGAAATTAAATAATTTGTACGAAGTTTCTGGCATTAGCAGGGAGACATGCATTAAGTCCAGATCAATGCTGATTAAAGTCTGTTTAATTTGGTTGAATAGTATCGTTTTCAATGCCATTGTTTGTCTTCATATCTCCGGAAAAAGATTCCAATTAGGTGTTAAAGAAGTATTTCATATAAACTTCGATGATTATAGAGCAGATATTATTACATTTTTTTCATATTTCTACGGCAACTTTGTCATCCCTATTCAATTCCAGTTCTTGTTACTTTATTTCTGCTCCATATGCAAAGATTTCGAGTATTCTTTCGCGTTAATTCGTAAAAATCTTGCCGATAAGCGCACTCCGAAACAGATTAACGAAGCCTCTTATAAGTATATTCAGATATTGGCCATGGTAAATGACATAGAAAGTATTTACTCCCCCGTTTTATTTCTGTGGTCGACTTCGATTGTTGGAAATGTCATATTTATGATTGGTGGTTATTTACAGAGGATGACGTCCTCTATCGACATGACGGACGTAATATCGTTTTTCTGTTGTACAGGATTTCAATTTTTATTGTTTTCTAACGTTTGTTTCTCTTCGTCGAATATGAACAGAGAGGCCAAGAAGTTTGCAATGTCCATTTACAAAGCCTCGCTTTCTATCAACGATCAAGCCGTTCGGCAATTTGCCTTTCAGTTTTCTATGGAAATTTTGCAAGATTTGCCTAATTTTTCTGCGTGGAATATGTTTTGCATCGATAACAATTTTACAATGGCAATTTTTAGTGCCGTTGTCACTTACGGTCTCATTATATTTCAATTCTCAAGCAAGCAATAACGAAAAGGATCTCTCAAGTGGACATCCATCCTCACACTTCACCGTTGCAGAGAATGTATTGAAATGAACAGAAAAGTTTATTTTTCCATCACAATTTATTGCACGTAATTTCNGTTGTCACTTACGGTCTCATTATATTTCAATTCTCAAGCAAGCAATAACGAAAAGGATCTCTCAAGTGGACATCCATCCTCACACTTCACCGTTGCAGAGAATGTATTGAAATGAACAGAAAAGTTTATTTTTCCATCACAATTTATTGCACGTAATTTCGAACGTTAAAACTGACCCACGAAGAAAATAAATCGATTGAAATTTCACTGTAACCATTATAAATCTTTTCGATAAAATATCGTTTTATTTTGATTATAAATGTCATATTACAAAATTCCAATAAATATTTGTTGGTTAAAATATTTGTTTGGTTTATTTGTCTTCGGCAAAGTAACACGTTGGCGATCTACACGCGAAATAGCACGTGGAACCCGTTGGTCAAGCACGAGCCCGGTCTAAATATTGTATAGTGGTTCTATTCACTCGGTGGCAGAAGAAAACAAAAATGAATAAAAGAAAATGTTATGCAAAAAATCGATTTAATGCGGAGCTTTATTTTATTATTTTGTATGTACGAGTCACAGCTTACTACCGGAGCGTTTAAATAATGAACAAATTAATAATTTAAATGCAAATTAAGTAATATTAATTATTTACTTAAAGAAACATAAGTGTTGGTACTGACTTTAAAAATGGTATTTAATCATTTCTTTTGCTTCTCAGATTTCTTGTACTTTTTCATGGTGTTTGTTTCAATTGATTGTAAGAGGTGATCTGTGGGTGAGTGAGTATTTTGCATGGTTTACTGTGAGTAGAAGAATCAGCTTGCGTGATTGGATGGCGGCTCAGATAACAAGATTTCTCTTATTTGAAGATAATGCCATATTCAATAAGGAAATAAAAAATCAGACAATTTATAGAATAGCGATAGAAAAGATGTACGAGTAATCAATTGAGAAACACTCATAAATTCAATTCATTTTACTTTTTTATACTGCAGGCGTTTAGAGACTTTTTAATGATACTCATTCTAGATTCTGCTAGGTCAGCAATAGAGTGGTCGGGTGGTGAGGGGCAACATGTCCCGAACAAATCATTCATGAAAAATTCTCTGAGAGTTACTCGCATAGATTCGATCCTGGTTTGAAATTCGAAGAATGATTAACTCCACACATTATTTTCACGTTGATGGTAGCAAATATATCTACAATTTTCTACATCTAGAATTTTATTGTATTTGCATTAAGAAGTCATTATCCATTCAATTTGGATTTCCAAAGATAAAATCCCTAATGCGCTACTGTCATCGACAGTTGTTTAGTATAATAAATCAACGAAATTTTAATTTGCGTATGGAAATATGTCACAATATATTTTAAATAGATAAAACAAATTAGATTAATTAAAAGGAAGATTGTTATAGAAAAAAACAATAGCGGAATTTTCCAGACTAATCCATAATAAAATAAAATGTAAAACTAAGAGTAGCAACACAAAAATGCTCCAAATCCATTACTAAAAATTGTTGTATCACACTGAATAAAGAGCAAATATGTAGGCGTGATGTTATGTAAATCATCCGCCGAAAATTTGAACTTTTTAAAGAATATATATTTTAATTAATATAAAATGCAGTAGGCCGGGGTAGTAATAGAGGACTTGTCAGCGAGGTAGAAGACACGGGTTCGAATCAGATCGCGATTGAGAGATTTCCCGAATCTCATAAATACTTTTTGAAACTATAAGATATTTTGCTTTATATAGGATAATCAAACTTTATTAAAATTTTAAACTCTTGGTATGTACGTCACTTTCAAATCTATTACTTATACAGTCGACCCCCCTATAATGTGGGTTCCTATAACGGAAATTCCTATAACGTAGCGAAAAAATTGTAGCAATATTCGTATAAAGGAACTCCTAAAACGTCGTCGCCGACTCGTGTCGCGACAAGATTGATAGAATCTGGACCAATAGTGGATGAGCAGCCGAACTACTTTCCTCCGCCCTGCGCTACGCTACGGAGAGTTTAGGCGGCTAAATTGAGTTTGCTATCGTCTGTACAGTATTATATATAAATTATATATAAATTAGGTACTGTACATATAATTATATATTAATTATATATAAATTAGGTACTGTATATATAATTATATATTAACTTAATTTATTGTAACTTTATTATAATTATATATATGCTTTCTGCCACCTGGCAACACGCTACGGAGATTTTAGGCTAGTAAGTTCAGTTTATTATCATCTGTACAGTATGTAAATTAGGTACCGTAAGTCTAATACAGCACTAATTTTATACATTTCTTGTGAAAGAAACACTTCTTATTCAACGGCCATAAAAATTATTTATATTAATGATGTCTCCAAAGGTCAAGTTATTTTTCCGCCAAAAATTCGTTATCAGAAATTGCGGCCGTCGTTTCGCGTGCTGTTCCGCGATGAAAACCAGCTTTAAGCAACGGCGTAGTCGAACGGTGTAAGTAATCCTACAATTTTTTGTTTATAGCATAGTTTATACGGATTATTCCCAAAAAATTATACGTGTTTTGGAAATGTTGAGTGGAATTAGTCTAGAATCGGTTAATTTTATAGAAGAAAACCTTTCAAACAGCCTTAGTCCGTAAACTTCACATGTGTCGGGCTGCAATTGGCTCATGTATTTAATCATTCCTACAACGTAAAATTCGATTAACGTGGAACGTATCTAAGCGTTATAGGGGGGTCTACTGTATTTTTCCATTGTATTTTATAAATCTTTCTTTGACCCAGCACTTCTTCAAAAGAGTTTTATACTTTTTTCCTTTCTACTCTTTTCTACCCATGGAAATTTTTTCGTGCCCATCGTGGATTCGGCTAAGTCCACAGCAAATGCTTGGTAAGCTGGACATATCCGAGACAGATCTTATGAAAATTTTCTGGAAATACTCACACGGTTTCCATCCCGGATACCCCAGAGCGTTGAATTGCTGCGTTAATCGCTTCAAATATCCTCCCGAGTATAGAAATTAATAGAAAATTTTAAACACGTTTCGTATAATTTTCTAATATAGATTTTATGTATCTACAATCTTGTCATTTTATTCAGTTTAATGTTATATTCGGTCATAAAAATCGATTTTTTGGAAATTATGTTGTCGTGTCTGTTTACTTTTGCATTTATGTTTACTTTACGTTGATTAAATTTTCGAACGAAAACTATTTAATTTTGAAAACCGGAGTTTATTATTTATACATAAAATTGCCTGTCACGAAATGAAGAAAACGGCTTCAATTTTAACTTCTTTAAACATTTCGGTAAGTTACAATAATAAATGTAAACATTTTGATATAAAATTAAATATAATTTGAGTTATTCTTTAGCGCTATTAACGTTAATTTTAAGTTTTGGGCACATTTTTAAAAGAGCATTTGTGAAACATAAATTAAATCATGTTAATTCTGTAGTGAAAGTAACGTGACTATTGGTAGGCTACTCTCTTTGAGAATAGCAATCTTCTTTACATAGTGAATACAAGGTGTTCACCCTTGTATTCACTATGTAAAGGAGATTGCTATTCGGTTACTCAGCTTACCTTTTCGAGGTGTTTTTGTATAATCGATTTTAAAATAATATGTGAATAAGGGAGTATTTTGCAAGGTGCAATGTGAGTAGAATAACCAGCTTCTGTGATTGGACACCGATTCGTATGTCAAGACTTCATTTATTTTCAGTTTATGACCAATAATTTATTATGGGATTAAAAAAGGCAGACAATTTGCATAATAGCGATATAAATGGTCTACAGTGCGAAGCAGAATTATACGCAAGTGTAATTAAAAAAAAATCTGTTTACTTATTAAGGATAAAATTTTGTAGAATTATTTAACGCTATCTTCTAATGATTTACACCAAATATCATCCCAATTGATTAATCCAAACATTAATTACGCAAAAACAGCCATTTCAGTATGAGAGAGCGCAATGGATACAATAAAGAAAAAAACTATGAATATAATTTATTACGTTGTTTTCGTATAAAAAAAAGATCTTTTAATTATACCTGTCACGTGTTCGGCTGGACGAATGTTTTTGTGAGTAACTGAATTTCTTCCTCGCGAAATATCTGCAGTTTCAGTCTTCGTAAGCTGTTGAATATCTTAGAATGGATGAAACAAAGATAAATCTAAATGTAAGAATGTATTACGATTTAAATATTCTGTTATATGTTATAATTTTTATTGTAACTTTCTTTGCTTCCGTGGTATTCCCGAACAGTATTTTAATTGATAATTCAGATTTTATTTTTAGATTACAATAATATTCGAAAGTTGAAGAAGTGTTATCCTGGTAATAATGGTATCGCTTAAACAAGCAATACGATTACCAGGTTAACACTTCTTCAACATATTCATGAATTTCACTACTTATACTTTAAATTTTACCAAATATTTTTACTTTTAAATAACGAAACTTGACAGACAACAATATGAATTCCTTAATTCGCCTCGACAAAACCAAGAAGTTTAAAGACGAAGAAGAAATTCAACTTTCCACTTATAGAAACAGATGGAAGTCATTGATCATGTCCATGAATTTCCTCGGTTTGAATTAGAGAAGAGGTTCACCCCACATATTATTTTCACGTTGATAGCAGCAAAAATATTTACAACCTTCGTGTACAAAAGTTTTATAACGTTAACAAATTATTCTTATTTGTTAATTAATTAGATGATATTTGCATTTTTTTCCTATATTTTCATAAGCGTGTTCATTCTGTATCACTTTCATCCGAATAAGAAAAAAATTATGTCTAAATTAAATGATTTGTATCAAATTTCTGGCATAAGCAGAGAGACTTCCATCGAGTCCAGATCAATGCTAATTAAGGTCTATATCAATTGGTTTAGCACTATCGCCGTCATTGTCGTGACGAAGGAGGATGTTTGCGTAATCGTTGTATATGATTAATTGTTATAGTTAAATTTAGTTTAGTAGTTTTGTAACCGTTGCCTTTGACTTATTTCAAACAATTGTACACGCCAATTGTACAAGAATTGGCGCGGTCGACAACATTACCTGATGTGCAGCTTCCAACCACGTCTACAAGAAACGAGCCGAAACAAGGCGCACAGACGAAGAAAGGAAGTCTTGAAGTTTAAGATTGAAGTTAAAAGTGTAAAATTTTGGTCGTAACCGAATCAAAGTTATACACAAGCTTAAGAAAATTTTTATTGGTTTTCTGTGCTTTTTTTAAAGAATTAACTGAATTAACTGTAGAAATGTGCTTGGTCTAACTATACATATATAAAAATGTTCAGGAATATTTTCTGTTATTTTTATAAAGTAAATTTTAACAACGTTATGATATATCGTAATTTAACTAAATATATATTCAATGTGAGAATATAGAATGGCTAATTCGACTGCAGCAATCGGAATCAGATATGTTTTAAATTTGTTTCTTTTTAATAGATTTTAAAGTACTATTTTGTCACAAATAATCATTAAATTTTACTTGTTTTCGAAAAAAGTTCACTAACGAGCAAAAGGGAACGTTTTTGTGGTTGGAGGAAGATAACGTAACTTCCTTTGCAAGTGATTACAAATGTGAGATCTCGACACATTCCACTACGAAACTCACCTCGACTTCCGTCACGCGTTGGAAGCGTGGAGAGATTTACGCATATATAGGAAGGAATTTCTCCATAAAAGAGAGAGGTTACTTTCAAAACAGGGGTTCACTAGTTTCTAGTTTATGCTCACCTCCAAAGAGACTCCTCTTTTTGTGTCCGAAGCTCCTGCGAAGTTCTCCTACATTCACCAATCCCTCCAGGCATTGTACTATACATTAAGGTGATATACCTGTTATGTAAACTCTCTCTTTCTTTCTAGATTAAATAGTGAGTTAATTTTAGCAGTATTCATATTTTGTATTCGATATTATAATTTTGTAATACTTTGGTGTAAATTAAGTTCCATACTAATATTATATCTTCGTTTTGCTAAATAAATTTACAGTTTTATTATAAACTTGTTTAGATTAATTTAAGGCCTACCTCCATTGTCGACTCACCTTCAAATTAGATATACCCTTCTAAAATTTCGGCTACTCGGAATAAGATCTGTCGAGATCTGCCCTTGTCAGTGCTGACACCAATTGGAATAAATAAGTCGTGTTCAATCTATATGTGATAGAGCGTTAACCAGAAATCCACCGTTTTCACACTAGAACGATCAGTTTATTTTGCATTTAAACATAGCTTTTTTCTCTCTAATGATGTTTTAAGCACGATATCAAGGATTATCTTGATTTTAGAATTCGTGTAATAATCGAAAGAATGGTATACGAAAGGTGGAGCGAGACCAAAAACACCACTTGAAAGTCATTCAAATTTCTTGGTGTCGTACTTCGCGAATTCCTTCCAACTGGTCAAACTGTCGACAAACAATGTGATTTAAGAATTTTACTTTGTTTGCGTGAAGCAATTCGTATAAAACGATCCGACTTGAAAGGAGAAATCCCCTGGATAATGCGCCTGCTGACAATGCCTGCTTTTCGTATTCGTAAATTTATTGTGAGAAATTTAATAGATATGGTTACGCAAGCTTCATGTTTATCTAATATGATACCGTGTGGTTTTCCCGTTTCCAAGAATAAAATATATCCGCTTGACTGTCATCGTTTTGAGTCGAATTATTCCATAAAACAAGACTCTCTGCGAATGTCGAAGAGGTTCCACGAAATCAACTATAAGGTTTCTTTCGAAGATTAGAAAAACGTTGGCATATGCACATGGAAATGCAGAATTACTTTTAAGAAGACGAAAAAATTTTAATGAATTAATTCAATGTTTACGTGTTATTAAACCACTCCCGAAACCTTATGATTATGACTGGGGTATAGTTAAGAGAATTTTGGCTTTTAATTGGTAAACGTTTTTACGATACGAAACATCTATATATTAATGACATCATTCTTTTAAAATGGAGAAAATGCAATCATCACTGTTTGTGATAAACTTCGTGTTTTATCTTTTTCGATTTGATTCATTTAACAGGATATTCGAAAGAATTGCTGAAGAAAATATGTCCATATCGAAATTTTACGAATGTCGTGAGATATTTGTAACGGGAGTAACGGGATCTTTGGGAAAGGCAAGTATTTCTACTACGTATATTATATCTTTATGCACAGATATTTCATATATAACTGATTCCCGCTTTATCTTTGTAATATTTGAAGGTGCTTTTAGAGAAATTGCTAAGATCCTGCAATAATAAAAAGATTTACGTTTTAATCAGAAGCAAGAAAGGAATGCCAGCGGGAGAGAGGAAGATGGAATTGTTTCGTTCTAAAGTAAGTTAAAATGTAAGTGTTGTAGAATACATTTATTTCATGAAACGCTAACTATTGTTTGGTAGCATAAAATATTACATATTTTACTCATTTTCTGTAAGAGTTACAGTTTTATCGAAAATTCAAACGTACAGTTAACATTTATTAAATTTTACCCTGAAGAAATGCGATTTTCACTGAAATAATCAGCGAAAATCGCATTGTACGAAAAAAATATCACGTGTCCCTTACACGTGACACTTTTTTCGTACAAAGATTTTTGGCAAATTGTAGACACAAGTTACGGCTTATACTTACTGTTTTTAGCGAACACTCGAGAGAATGCATATTTTGGATCTTATTACGCAACAATCAACCAATGTATTTGTATTTCTAACTAGCTGCAAGGACCCGCTTCGCTGGATTTTTAAAAAGTCACGATAGTGAAGATTAAGATAATTACATTATAGCCAATCTTACCCGTTTTCACAGAATGCAAGAATTAGGCCCCCCGTTTCCAGACTAATTAGAGACCTGGACCCGATTCTATTTCTGAACGTCTCCTGTTCACGTCCAGTCAAACAAACTATTTTTAACGTTTTTGGAACGTTTACAATCGATTTATAACCGAACCAATATTCGAATTTTATGTTCGAATTAAATTCGAACAAATTTGAACATAAAATTCGAAATAGAGAACCACTTTCAAGCCCATATCTCCCGCACCCTTAAGCTATCGAGACGCAACCACCCTGGTGCACGAATGGAGACTTGGGGCTACTACCACATACAAACACCATTCATGTGCGATGTGTAGTTTTGGCGGAAAAGTGAAATATAGGGATATACATGTCCATTTATATATATATAGATGTAATGAATGTTTGCAGCGCGAGTACGGTCCAACGAGTGAGCAAATTCCTGGCATGCCCATGTCTAGTATTGCACCATGTTCAATACTGCGTAATGACAAGAAACATCTTCGCTCATTTTAAGTATAATTACAGTTGAGTATTCACGTTTCCTTTCAATTTCACATGCGGTTTCTAGAGGTTGCAGTTGGATATATACGTAAACCTTAAAGCCATCATAACCATCGAGAGAATGGTGTTTCATCACAACACCAAAGTTAGCGATTATTAAAATAGTGTTACAGAAGCAGAAAAGAAGTGAATTGACAGGTGAGCTGAGTGAGTTTATTTCGTACATCTGACCATCATTTTTTTATACTCTTTTTGCCCCGTGGGCACTAAGGGGTCTCTTAGAGCAGGCCCATTATGAGTTCGGCCAGGCACATAATGGGGCGATCGGGTGGTGAGGGACAGAGCCGTCATATCCGAATGGACCACCCCCCCGAAATATTCCTGGGGATTCCTTGACCCGTCCGAAATAATTTTGGGGATTCGATCCCGAATCCCCCAGACGCTAGGCTGCCACCTTGACCGCTCGGCCATCAGTGATATAATTACAAATAAAACTTGTAATTTTTATACGTTAAAGCCAGTGTTTCTCAACGCGAGGCACACGCCCCATCAGGAGGCAATTTGAATGTTTTGGGGCAATGAGCAAATAATTAATATTTGTTACATTTTCACTTCAGTTCTATATATAGGCCTATATATATTATGAAACTTTATTTGCTGTTTTTTCATATCACTTCATATTATTATTATTATTACTATTTAACAATTTTTTGGTGATTTTCTACTCAATACTTGAACTGTCCTTTCCTTTTACTTTTCTTTTTCAAAGACGCCATGTTTTTGTCCCAGGGGGACATTAGGATTTTGAAGATGCTTTGGTGGGGCATAAACAAAAAAAAAATTGAGAAACACTGCGTTAAACGAAGATCATTCTGAGCGCGTAAAATCTTTATATTTTCAAGATTAAACCTTATTGATATATGCACTTTTAAATTTGTGCCACATCGTTGAACAGCACCGTTTACCAGAATACCGTATAAATGGAACCTACGTAATAAAACGTTTCTCTTCTGCACTTTGAACTAATCTAAAAAACAATTATTCATCCTAGAAGTTAAAACGAATCGTTGTATTTAAATTATCTAATGCCTGTTTGAATACACATTTATGTTGCTACTTTAATATTTATAGTAAATTTCAGGAGTACAATTTACACCGTAAATCATGTTAACGTATACAAGAAAAATTTATAAAAGAAGAATTGATAAAATTTATAAATTAAAATTGTATTAAGACGAGTAATACAAATTAAGGAATACTTTAACGTTTCTCTGACGTTCCATGACGTCAATCATGAATTTGTATTGATTTAAGATGAGAAATGACGAGAAAAGAACAATTTTATTAAAATTAATTTTACTTACAGTGGATTCCGCAATTACATCTTAATTAATTTCTAGATAAGTGAAGTTACGGAACTTTTTGGGAAACGATTCGTGTCATTACGTGCACAATCAGTCTCAGAAATTAGGATATGTTCGTGCGGGTAGCTAGAATTATATAGTATTACAACAGAATGGGCAACAGTAAATACAGTGTTTAAATTGGGCATTTTGTTCGTTCGTAATATAATGAATGCAAATCATTATCAAGAAATGCTGGAGAAACATTTCTTACCATTTGGGGCCCAAAATGTATCTACCAACAGGACTGTTTCGATACAGAATTCCAAGTCCATCTATGAATGGGTTTTGAGTAATAGAGTTCAGATTTTCGACTGACCACCTTGCAGTCCTGATCTCAACACCATTGAAAATATAAAAACTGTAGAATGCAATTGTAGCTAAAGGGAAGGACGTTCAAGAAAAACAACTGCAAATTTTAATCAATTCATTGCGTAATCAAGTGTTTAATTTCATTTTGGTTAAAGGATGTTACATTGGTGTTTTTTACTGCTTTTCCACGCTAGACCCGTGTTTGTGCAAAAATTTTAAAAGTTGCCGGAACAGTCGAACAACTCGTTGCCGGTTTATTTAATTAATAAATGTCTTCGTGTTGTCAGAATTGAGTACATTTTTACACAAAATCGAACACAATTATCACAACTCAAATTTAACCGATTTTTCTACTCGCTTATCCCCGTATTACTTTATAAAATCAAATTTGTTATCGAATTTCTTATATATTTTTTATATTCGTGAAAGATTTTCGGAAACATTTTATTGAAAAATCCGGAAATTACGAATAAAGTGGAATGCATCGAAGGGGACCTCACAAGAGAGAACTTAGGACTTTCCTCGTGTCATATGAATTTGATAACGAAAAACGTTTCGCTGGTGTTTCACTTGGCCGCTTCGGTTAAATTCGATGAACCTTTTCGGTGAGTTTTACGCTAATAAATCACATTTTTTTGTTATTTGCCTAATTATTTTTATTTCTTTTGTAGCGATTCGTTCGTCAATAACGTGGAATCGACGAAAAATGTGGCCGAAGTTTGTCGTCAAATGAAAAATTTATCGGTAAATATTTTGTGAATAATTTAAATTACAACTTATTCTAAAATTAAATAGCAGCGAATTGAACATTAAAATTTTTCATATTTTACGAAATCGTATATTTACAGTCGACCCCCTATAACACTGTTCATTATTACGTTTTATATGAATGCCATGTTGTACGAGTAGTCACTTAGATTTTACAAATATGTGAGCCGTTCACAATCCGGCACACGTATTTGTAAAATCAACAGTGTTATAGGGGGGTCGATTGTATTTCGTTTTTTTTTTTACTCTAATCTCATCCAAATATTTGTAAAAGCCAGAAATTATTAATGATCATGAAATTATTACAGTGATCAACCAATGATTCGTGCTTGGGAGTATTTTCAGTAAAGATATACATTATTAAGTCATTCTTTTAGAATCTTCGTGTTTATAACAGATTAAATTTTCTCTAAATTCAGAACGTGGGTATCTTCGCAAACTGTTTAAACCTGCAAACTCTTTATCACATTGTAAAAATTTCCGGGTGTTTGTTGTGTTATTTAGAACTACGATCTGCATTCGAAACCCGTATATCTTAATGATGTCTCTCAACAATAAATTATGAAGAGTTTTCTTCATAATTTATTGTTGAGAAACATTATTCGCTGTACAAATAATTACAACACTTTTTAAGTAACCATGCAAGAAAAACGTTGGAACTGTGATACATAAGTGATTACAAATTAAGTTTTGTAATCACTTATGTATCTTTATAATTTTGCATATAATATAAGTTATATATCATAATTTCAGGCATTCGTGCATACTTCTACAGCTTATTCTTTCTGCAACAGAAAGGAAGTGGATGAAAAAATCTATACAATGGACAGAACATATGAAGAATTTAAGAACATTGCAAAGTATTATACTATGACATATTAAGTGTAATTCTTTTTGATTGTATTTCCTGTACTGTACGTGCATTGCATTAATATTTTTCTAATTGCAGACTAGAAAATATTGCTTCCTTAGAGATAACAGACGAAAATTTTTTGGAAAATCGACCCAACACTTATACTTTAACAAAGGCCATAGCAGAAAATTATTTAAATACTTTCTGTAGAGATTTGCCTGTAGTAATTGTAAGACCTTCTATTGTTAGTTGTACTTGGAAGGAACCTTTTCCCGTGAGTATTTCTATTCTACGTCAAAATACATTATACGTTTGGGTGTAATCAGTACATATTTCTTTATTCAGGGATGGATTGATAATAATAGTGGTGTCGATTACATAGCTGGAACAGTAAGTGTATTTAAATAATTCTGGAACTGTAAGTATATTTAACTGATTCATATCTTTACGTCTTAGTTGTAAACACTGTAACTAACAGGTAAAGACAGAAGTTAACAAATTACCATTTATTTCACTTTTAGTAAGTAAATGCTTATTAGTTAGCTTCAATTTGTAACTAAGTGTTTCTCAAATTATCTTTCTGGTAGCTTTTCTACATTAGAAGTATTATTAGTTTTTTTATATATCCTGTATTTTGTTAAACAACGTCTGTTGTTGATAAATTTTTATTGAATTTAAATTTCAGTAAAGTGTTTTTAATAAAGTAATTATTACAAGAGCTTCTTGTATTACATCAAATGTAATGTTCTTTTTCTGAGAACTGAAGAACATTCGTTATTCGCATTGTATTTGAATACATTTGCGAATTTCTGGAATTGCGGATCACCGATTGAAAAATATAAAGTTATCCGAATGATATTGTGTACCCGGGTAAGAAAACATAGATTAACTGGTATTAAACTTCTCATAGTGTTTAACACTACTTTCAGGGATTGAAAGGAATACTTAGAAGTATGTTAAATGATGAAGACAAAATTTCTGATTTCATTCCATCGGATGCAGTGAGTAATTTGATGTTAGCTGCTGCTTGGAGGAAGGCGATGACTCCTCATCTAAAGTAAGGTTTTATGACAATTTCATTATACTGTCATGCGTCGGAATTAGATTAGAACTTAATTTGATTCTAAAATGTGTTCGAAAACCGAAACAAATTTTTACAAAAAAAAAAACAATACAAAATGAATTTTAATCCGTTCCCCGAAAAAAACCCTTTGTTTTCTTACTTTTTGTTATTTGTATTTCTTGTATAAAAATGCCTGTAAGTGCCATTTATGTTACGTGAATGTCTGTTAACGTTGTTTTTATTAATTAATTAGAAGAGGCCATCTCGGCACCACTAACTTCTGAACCTGTAATGTCGTCGTTGATTGGTCAGTCCGTCGACTTTCCTTGACACGGAAAGTATAGGAAGTTGACCGTTAGTGGATGGCTCTACCGAGTATCTTAATCGGTAACCAGGCAAAGTAAGTTCAAAATTCTGTTCATAAACAACCTAGCAGTTTGGCGGAACTAGAAGACCACTTAAAGCAAGGATGCCACAAGGACCATATAGCCTCTCTATGCCTGATACCCGCCCGTATTACATCGTGTATTCACGCGTGATGTGACCCAACAGGGTACTAGAACCCCCGTTCATTTGTAGTTTTTCCTGCAACAAATAATTCTTTTGCTTTTATCTTGTGATCACTAGCTTATATCACCTTTACACTCGCACGTATACAGTACAATTTCGTTCGATTCCGATAAATTTTTATTGGTACGCTTATTTTTGTGGTAATGAATATATATTAAGCAAAAGAGTTTGCTGTTCTCTTTGCAGAGAAGCCGAAATTCTAGTTTACAATTGCACTTCAGGATCCATAAATCCTTTCATTTGGCGCCAGTTTTACAAATGTTTAAATACGCATTCTTGGAAATATCCCGTAGAAAACATCTTTTTATATCCATCAAAAATACCCAAGAAGAATTATTATTGGAATCGATTATGCATCGCGATACAACATTTACTTCCTGCAATGCTAACCGACGTATTTCAAATTGCCGTTGGCAGGAAACCAAAGTATGTTCTTTGAAATGTACTTCTGTATTGTATGACATATTAAATGAAATTCATATTGCAATTTAGGATGATAAAAGTCTACAGTAATCTTCAGAAAAAAATAAGCACGTATGAATATTTTTCAATAAGAGATTGGAAGTTTGGTGTCAGAAACGTGCAGGAATTGCTGGAGAAAATGTCGACTGAAGATAAACAGGTAGGATTAATATCAAATAACATAAGCCGTATCTTATGACTAGTACAGTTGACTATCGACAAGACCATGTGTCAGAGATGAAGAAAAATTTTGGAGTTAAAGCAACGTTGGGTTACGTAAATTAACATTATCTTGTAATGAGTTCAAACATGTCGCGATATAATGAATACACTTACGTATTACAGTAATCACATTATTTTTATTATTTTTTACATTCGTATATAAGTACTGTATATGCAATAACGAATATAGAATAATTGGAAATATATGCGAAAGATTTCAGTGGCTCTTTCTTCGAAGAATTTAAATTATAAATTACTTATGAACGTATGTTTAAAACAGCATAGTTTTAAATTAACAGGATGTTTAATATTTGGGCGCGCACGTCTGTCGATGCAGCAAAATATCTTTTTCGCTGCAATTTAGTGCGCGAAATAAATCGAGTCAATTTGACAATGCCATTCAGTTTATGTACACAATTCAATGAGTCTACGGGAGTCGATACTCTTACTATTGTTCGAATAAATAACACCACCAAACACTGATGGTTAGTCATGGTTTCGTACATGTCCGTCGTACATGAATTTCGGGACTTGTCTGACATCGAAATAGGTGTTAGTTTCTCGAAAAGGAAAACATTCTTCGGGTAGAAATTCTACTTGTCGAATGCCACGAAATCATCGAACCAAACCACATTATATAAACTTACCAATTTTTTGTTCCAAGAAAGAAGTTCATTGAATTGAATTGGACCCCTTTGAGAATATAAAACCTTGTGATTTTCACTTTCATATTCTACATTCATTATTTTAAAAATTCCAAAGACTAGTTCACTTTTTTTCGTCATCGGCTTATCGTTCGATTTTTCTATTTGCAGTTTGGATCATTAAGGAATTCTTTGTAAAGAATTTTTATACTGTAATTATTTCTCGTTATATGTGAAAATTGAATCTTCTCTCATTCGAAATAATGTATAAGCCAATACTTCACTTAGTAATTCGAACATTTCCATTTCATAAAATGATTTAATAATAAGTGTGTCTTCAAAGTGGATGTAGTGTGAACTATGTTGTTCCATCTTTCAGAGAAAATCGTCAGGATCGTTGTTAAAGCAATCAAAGCAGTTTTTCAGTGGTAAGTTGTCTTTCAGATAACGAAGATGTCGTCGACATATCTATTCTAGAAAATGATGAGGTTAATAAAATTAAATAGTAGCTTATGCCCCAGATGTCTCACGATGATTTTACAATGAAACCCGTCCTGTTGAGATGGGACTATATTCACTCCAGGACTCTATTCGAACAATGAATTGTTCAAACTCCGAATTAATTTTCCTATTACAAATAATGGAATATAAAGGAACCCATTTCCAGACCATAAACAAATGCCAGATCGATAAACTTAAACAGTATATATATATATAATTTAAAATAACATTAACACGATTTAATGACCTAAATAATAAATTGTAACGTTCCAAGTCCCAGTCGAATTTATATCGAATTTAGCATTCGAACTCTGGAACGTTGTAGCTAGAGTCGTTCGAAGTACGAGGTATCGATATAAATAAATTTCAAAACATACATTATTATTATCGTATATTAATATCATTAATTTCATTTACTCGGCTATTATCTAAAATTTTTCAGAAATTTACTTAATTCTGAAATATTCCAAGTTCAGAAACAGTTAAAAATATATAGAAATTAATGCTACAGTGGTCTTTTGACACAAGTATTCGATACTACGGCATGCACAAAAATTGGATACTGTGGATGCCATTTACGCCACACTGCAGCCACGTGCCCATAGATAAACCAACTTTTTTCAACAAAATCTATTTTGAACCTTTCTGTAAATTAGAAAATGTTAAATTTTTCACAATAAAGACAATAAGACCAAACATTTAAATTGCTTATACTCTATACATCGTTATTAAAATTTGCGCTTAAAACACTTTGATAAATTGCGTTTATATGCCAACATTATCTTAATATTTTTACAAACAAAACAATACCAATATAAAAACATTTACCGTTATGTTTAGTGTTAAAATATTCTTCTACTGTGTTTAACGCATTGATAATTTTCATCACCACACGCGTTAGTATGATTTATTTTTCAAAACAATGTATGAATTTTATTGGATCCGGCATCTTGACGTGGATTCAGATGTACCGAAGTACCCGAAAGTATCTGCCCGGGTAGTTTTCACCTCTGGCAAATCGAAACCAAATAATAAAACTCGTAAAATATGCAAAATCATCCGAAATTATATTTCAGAATTTTGACNAATGAAACCCGTCCTGTTGAGATGGGACTATATTCACTCCAAGACTCTATTCGAAATATAAATTGTTCAAACTCCGAATTAATTTTCCCATTACAAATAATGGAATATAAAGTAACCCATTTCCAGACCATAACCAATGCCAGATCGATAAACTTAAACAGTATATATATATAATTTAAAATAACATTAACACGATTTAATGACCTAAATAATAAATTGTAACGTTCCAAGTCCCAGTCGAATTTATATCGAATTTAGCATTCGAACTTGGGAATGTTTGTAGCTAGAGTGTTTCGAAGTACGAGGTATCGATATAAATAAATTTCAAAACATACATTATTATTATCGTATATTAATATCATTAATTTCATTTACTCGGCAATTTTCTTAAATTTTTCACAATTTACTTAATTCTGAAATATTCAACGTTCAGAAACAGTTAAAAATATATAGAAATCGGTGCTACAGTGGCCTTTTGACACAAGTATTTGATACTACGGCATGTACAAAATTAGGATATTGTCGATGCCATTTACGCAACACCGCAGCCACGTGCCCATAGATAAACCAACTTTTTTCAACAAAATCTATTTTGAACCTTTCTGTAAATTAGAAAATGTTAAATTTTTCAGAATAAAGACAATAAGACCATTTAAACACATTTAAAATGCTTATACTCTATATATCGTTATCAAAATTTGCGCTTAAAACACTTTGATAAATTGCGTTTATATGCCAACATTATCTTAATATTTTTACAAACAGAACAATATCAATATAAAAACATTTACCGTTAAGTTTAGTGTTAAAATATTCTTCTACTGTATTTAACGCATTGATAATTTTCATCACCACACGCGTTAGTATGATTTATTTTTCAAAACAAATTTTGAATTTTATTGGATCCGGCATCTTGACGTGGATTCAGATGTACCGAAGTACCCGAAAGTATCTGCCCGGGTAGTTTCCACCTCTGGCAAATCGAAACCAAATAATAATACTCGTAAAATATGCAAAATCATCCGAAATTATATTTCAGAATTTCGACTTTGACATCTCGAAACTCAATTGGGACCAGTACATGGAAGATTACTTTCTGGGCATCAGGAGATTCGTTTTCAAAGAGGATGACTCGACCATACCCCACAGCAGAAAAATATTATTATTGTAAGTAGTCGTTTATTATATTCTTCAATTTCTATCCAAAGCATTTCATAATATTATATTATTACTTTTACAGAAAATATTATTCTTTTTTAATTGCAAAAATCGGATTGCTTTTTGCATTCGTTTACAGTTTCACCATCTTGTCGTTCTAGTTTTCCCCAAAAGAAGGATTTATTATATTTGAGATTCTTACATTAACTGCTTATTAATTTTATTTTGGTTGTAATTTATTATATCCTATTTTATTTGTATTACTTATTAATTTGTTATACAATAGCCTATACCAGAAAGTGGACAATATACGAGGAAGATGGATTTACCGATGTCCGGCAATTTTAAAGTTTTTTTAATTTTTAAAAACGATAAAATCGCTGTAAACTCTTAAATATTGCTTAACTAGAAATGAATAAACTGCTCTAATTGTTCGTTGTATAACAAATTAAAAACAGATTAAAATACAGTAATGCTAGAATGTTTGTCTCTCTCTGTTCTTAGTATATCAATATACAGTGGTAGACAAAAGGTCTGAAAACTCGGAGGGTCAAATTTGACACTATTTTCATTTTCAAAGACGGGACCAAATTAATGTTATTTTCTTTAATGTCTTTATTGCAATTATCAAAAATGTTTTTAATGTATGGAAAGGCTTAGTATTTTTTATCGACTTTAATTTTTGTGTTATATGTATTTTTGCAATATTGTCTATACCAATTTTTTGTTTCGATTTTAGGATAGTCATTAAGAATAAACTTAAAATTTTAACAAAACAATATAATAACAATATAAGTCATCTTAAAAATCGAGTGTAGTTTATAAGGTAGAGTGTAATTGTGAAAATCCCAAAGTTTATATAGGTGAAACTATCCGTATATTGGAAATAAGAGTAAAAGAACATGAAGCAACTATTCGGCTTGGTTACAATAATTCCCCAGGATATTCCCCCCAAAAAGAAATTCAAGGAACATATCGAAATAAGAAACATCCCAAAGAAAATCTAGTTAATATTTCAGACGGTATGCAAATTGACCCTCAGTGGTATAGCATAATAGAGGGCGATACAACACATTATGTATTATAATAAAACCACAACCAAGACGCGTTGTGCTGTTTGTTCCGATGAATCAGAAGTACAAGATAAAACTTATTGTCGGTATGTCTTTATATTCTATCTTTACATTGTCTCGACGTTTATTCACTAAAATGTAATAGCATAAATGTCCCGAATACAGAAATCTCCTTACCAAATTTCAGAAATATTCGACGAAAGACACGAGAGTTAGTGAGTTCGTAACTGGACGAAACAAATTGTTCTGCCACACACACCCACACACCACAGACATATCCGTGGCTACAAAATAAATAACCTAAATCTTCGATTCTAAAAATGTACAAATCTTGTGGTCTTTGTCCGATTAACCTACTTTTTCTCTGTTATATGTAATTTCCATTAAATTAAAAACAAAATTAACTTTTTCTATCGGTATTTATTCCAATCTCAATTTTATAACAGAATTAATAATAAATTGAAGTGATTAAAATTAACAATTAAATTTAATTATATTTAAATTTATTTAAATATTCCGATCATTTCTAAATAATCGAACAACGTGTAGTATATAATAACGCTACATCGTGTTTACTCATCGACATAAAATACTGAAGTAGAAACAAATTTCTTATACAGAAATCTATTAATTAGAAAGGCAAACCTTCAGTCGCATTATAATACTTTAATTAACATGTAAATATAACTGATAATATTTTAAAATTATTATAAATGAATTACTGTAAAGAATTCGACTCGAATTGTCGGGATTGAACGAAAGATGCGATCAAATTGTAATCGTAAATATTACAATTAAAAGAAAAATTATATAAACAAATGAAAATTTAACTGTATTTTAAAAAATGATGTAATATTTAACCTGTTACTAAATTATTAACGATTTAATAAACACTTAACTAGGTCTATGGAGAAAATCCGGTCTTAATCGACAGATGAAATATATTTACGCAATCGAGGAAAATTCTGTATTTTGTTCATTGCAGACATTCCTGAGAAATTGCTAAATAAACTTTGTCATCGAATTTTGTAGGTAAAATGTTTTCTCACGTCTGCTTGTTTTCACTGTTGTGAAATTATTAAGATAATACTTAAAGTGTGATCATTCTCTACACAAGCGATAAACGATTCGCGCACTCGACGTCTTCATATTAAACACTGTTAACTTCAGTAAATTAATTTTACTTTTTCGTTTTCTACCTCGTGCCATTACCCAACTCTACTTTAGCTGATATTGTTTATTAAAAAACATTTAAATAAGTTTTTCAGGCGTTTAAGGGATGATCCTTGTATTTGCCCTTCCTAATACGTATACACAGTTGTTGTATATATTATTGGATTTATAATTAATAATCCTATCTGAATTGTTCTCATTATTACTTTTCCTCAACTCCTAAGTCAATACCGAGCATTTTGATATTAACAATTCGTTTATGATAAATATTTTGTAATTCACATAAATAATATTTTAATCGAAATATATCATTTGTTTTGATCAATACAAGACTAAGGACGTCCCGAAACTGCCGATACCGATACTATCCTTCGATACTAAATATCGATACTTTATTGGTATCGAGAATCCCTATAAAGGACATTGACATTGATCATTTGTTACAAATAATCATTAAATTTTACTTGTTTTGGGGAAAAATACACTAACGAGGGATTCGTTGTTCTTATGATTAATAATTGAAAGTAAAAATGAAAGTAAATTTAATTCTGTTTCTTTAACTAATAATAATGTCTGCTTTCTCCATAAGTTTCCATGTTTTTAAATACATTGAACAGTAATTTTTCTTTATATTAATATTGAAAATTAGTCAGAGTAAACAGTGACCGTTTTATCGGTAAGCTGTAGCTTAGGATCTCGAGTTTCAAGGGGCATAAAACTTTCTACAAAAATAGAAAATTGAAGTTAAATTTTGTAATAAATGCTTTGTTTTTTTTACAAACCAACAAAATATACTTTACTTTTTATTTCGTGTAGTATTTAATTATATTAATCATTAATATATTAATAATCAATATTGTTAATAATAATCAAATCTTTGTAGGCTATATAACAACATCTTTAACATTAGAAAAGCGGTTATATCGACTTCGTAAGCAAAAAGAAAGGTACAGTCGACCCCTATAACACTGTTAATAATTCCGTTTTATATGAATTCCATATTGTACGAGTCACTTAAATTTTACAAATACGTGTGCCGGGTTGTGAACGGCTCACGTATTTGCAAAATCTAAGTGATTCGTACAACACGTAATTCATATAAAACGGAATTATCAACAGTGTTATAGAGGGGTCGACAGTATATCTGGATAAAAAAGCTAAAATTTTTATTTCATTTAATAAGTAAGCTTACATATATTCGATTAGTACAATTATAACACAGAGTTGCACAATGCAATTGATAAAATTCCGTAATGCAGAAAACAATTAAGGATTTTTCGATGCTGTTACCCAAGGTTCTCATTTCTAGAAAACAAGAAACAATAATTATTACCTTATTACAGTTTACAAATATAATTATATTAGTAAATATGCCATTTTAATCATTTCTAGCAAATTAATTAAAATAATAATTTCATATATAGAGATAAAATGATTCCTTATTAAAAGGAATCAATTAAAATATTTTAACCTTTTAATTTTTTACATTACTTTACTTTTTTATACCTGTAATTAAATTTATTTAGAACATGTTGCGTGTTTATAACAGTTTAATCAAATAATTAATCTGAATTAACTGTAGAAGTGTGCTTGGTCTAACTATACGTATATGAAAGTGTTCAGGAATATTTTCTTCTATCTTTTTAATAGAAATTTTAACAACGTTATGATCTATCGCAATTTAACTAAATATATATTCGATTTGAGAATATAGAATGGTTAATTCGACTGCAGCAATCGGTTTTAAATTTGTTTTAATTTAATACATTTTAAAGTACTATTTTGTCACAAATATTCATTAAATTTTACTTTGTTGGAGGAAGATAACGTCACTTCTTTTACAAGTGATTACAAACATGAGATCTCGACACATCCCACTACGAAACTCACCTCGACTTCCGTCACGCGTCGAAAGCGTGGAGAGATTTACTATCGAGATCGAGATCAGAAATTTTTTTAATCGTCTTTTACAGTTAATAACGCCTGGACTTTCGTCGAAAATTTCTGAAATTTTGCAGGGAGGTTATGAAGACAAACAAGTTTCCTCTCAGATAATGCATACTATATATTATTTTGATATTATTTCGACTATTTTTACAATATTTGACTGTAATTCGCAATTTTGCATGCGTTTATTTATATATTTTCTCATATTATGTAATGTTAGGAGTTGAATTTCCTGGAAAAATTTTCGAGTAATCTTCTGGTCTAAGTAAAGTCAAATAACATGAAAAGTAGTAAAATTACAGATATAACATCAAGAAAATAGCTATTTCTCAACGTTTGTTTACGTTCTAACTCTGAACACGTGATTTTGGAAGTCATTGGTTCTTCGCGGGAAAATCCTGAATAGGCGGTTCTGAGAAAACACTCATTGGTTAATATTAATTCAGTCATAATAAAATTAACTAATTATAGCATAAAAGGCGTCTAAACAAGAAATTTATAGCCAATTAACGGCAAGAAGGTTTCCCATAGACATACTATAGGAAGGTGAAGTTTCCCGGGAATATTTATGACGAGATGAACTGATTTGTCGATGTTACAGTCAGACAACCTAAAAAAAAGCCAATCCAAGTAATTATATTCACAACATTTATTAAATTTTAAATATTTTAAAATAAAAAAAAATAAGTATCGCTTATCACACCGGGAAGCCGACGCCATGACAGTACGTGTAACTTGACACACCCCGGTCATAAACCAATCTTTGAACGTAAACATCGGGGGTTCTATTGAAGCTAGAATGACGCGGTTTGTTTTGTTATACGTAGAAACACTTCAACTTTGTAACTGCTGTGTTAAACAATACGATTTTTTAAATTTAATTTTTTAAAATGAAAATACCTAAAACTTTTCTCTTTTTAAAATTTTTTTTTCGTAAATAATTAAAACAAATACGATAATCAGTGAGAATGAAGTGTTTATAGACAAAATAAAAAAACAGCGAGTCTCTAGCGCAAAAATTTTAAAAAATATAGCAGTTTTAAAATATTTTACAAAAAATCTCGATGAGGAGACTTGTAATTTTAAAAAAAATTCAGGATACAACCGGTTAATAACGGAGTTTTGTGTTTTACTCCATTCGCTAAACAGTTTGTTATCTAACAATGAGATTCTGACCAAAAAACAGAACGCAAAGAGCAGGAACAACGACGTGATTCGTGGCTTTCAACACGGCTACGGACAGATCCTTCCGATATCCTAAACATTCGTCGTTTATAAGG